GTTCCTTATTTTTGCGCATGGGGTCCTTTTCCTAGTTTTTGTTGTCTTCTATATCAGTACTACCTTTGAAATGTAGGAATTTCACATAAATTATATAGAAAATTTATAGAAGAATGGGAAACAAATCATGTGTTCCAAAGGGGCCTAAAAAATCTGAATGATTCAATATTCATTTTTTAACATCAATATAAATATGGATACTAAAGGGGTGTTCGGCTGCTGCATTTGCAGTATAGAGAGAGAAAAAGCACAGCTGCAGCATCAACTGCTGCTTAGGCCCGTTTGGCGGGGCTTCTTCACGAGCTTACTAAATGTTTACTAAAACGGCTTCGGCTCCACCGGTGGAGCCGTTTGACATTGAAACTCCGTGTTAATTTAATTTTCTAAATAGACATACATGAATTAATTTTCTATTATTTTTATTTATCTGATTCTAGATCCTTATTTTTAAAATGTAAAATATTCGACATTGAAACTTTGTATTGTACTAATTTAACCTCGTACGTAGCTGGCAACAAATTTATTAGTACTGATTTAGTTAATGCATGAGTTACGTAAATGTGTGGTTATCACTCACCATGCATTATGTAACTTTGTGCTAATTTAGTTAATACGGACGTGACACCTTTTACTCCATGCATGCCCATGCAGCCATGCATCGTCTCTCTCATCGTGGAGTAGCTCTGGTATTGGATTTTTTGTTCCCTAAAGCAGCTAGTACCAGTAGCAGCTCTGAGACTCAGACATCGGGTCACGTAACCATCCAAGGCCACCGTACTAGCACAGTTGATGTTGATGGATGCGAAGACCAAAAAATAGTGCCAGTTGCCGGAGCTCGACGTCAAGATTCACGGCGTCGAGTTCGACGCGCCAAACATAGTGTCACATCAGCTCTTGGTCAGGCAGCTTGGCTGCCAGCGCATCCAACCTCGGCGTCATGACTCACGGCGCCGAGCACAGGGTCCAAAAACGAAATTAAAACCGTCAAGAATCTAAATGTGAATATTTTTCAAGATAAGGGCTAAAAAATAAAAAAATCAGGAGTGCCGACGGCAGTGCGCTTTATCACCTACTCCCTCCTTTCAGAAAAAAAATGTAATTCAAGCTTTGGTTGTATCCAGGTTCAAAGCTAGAATTGTGTGTGCATTTTTTTTTTTTTGACGGAGGGTTGTTTAATTTAAAAGCTTCAAGGACGGATGAATGTACCTGTTAGTCTGTCACCCATGCCAGCAGTCGTCAAAAGTGTATATCATGGTTCCAAACTAATTAAGACTACACACTTGGCTCGCTACAGTCGTCTAAACCATCCAATTAACCTCCCCAACCTGCAGCGATGTGATGTCCTTTTGTTTCAGAGGAAAACGTACGGCAGTTTATTTCATGTGAACAGACGACCAGATCTCGGAGCTTGCCTTCGTCGTTGCCGCCATCACCGCCTGCTTTATATCGTGCACTAAAGGTACTACCTTGCATTGTATTGGCTCAACGCCGTTCCTATCTTTTCGGTTGAATCTCGGGTGTTTCTTCTCTGCTGGTCAGCTAGCCTGAAACGAAGTAAAGGTAGCAGAAACCTAATACTCCAGCAGTCATCCCATCCGTTGGGTCTCCGGGGCGGAGGGCGTCGCGTGCAATCGCCAATGACAATGCAAAGCAGCAGGCTTTGAATTGACCCGAGGAAGACGAAGACGACAAAGTTAGGTCACGCTCGAGGATGGCGACAAGCCCGTCCCATTCGCCCGCAACGAAAACGCCGGCCACCTGCTGTCTGCTGACCTCATCTCGTACATGACAACCTGCTTATTATACTCTCCCTGTTTTCTCCAGAACCGAGTGGTTGAGGCGGTGTTTGGTTGGACAAAGTTTGCGCAGTAAAGATTTCCTATTGTAGTATTTCGTTTGTATTTGTGAATTATTGTCAAACATTGACTAATTAGGCTCAAAAGATTCGTCTCGTAAAGTTAAAGCAAACTGTGCAATTAGTTTTTGATTTCGTCTATATTTAGTACTACATACATGTACTGCAAGTTTGATGTGACGGAAAATCTTCTTTTTACATAGTGCACTTTTCATTAGTTTGGAGGAGCTAAACAAGGCTGACTTGAAGATGGATTACGTTTGCTTGCTGCTAGAAACGCATGCAGCTTAAAGACTCCGCAACCAGCGCTGGTTTTCAGACGTACGGTCGATGCTCTCCATCTCCATGCACGTACGTACGTATGTACGTATACCGGATGGCATGCATGCAGCTAGTACTCGTGCCTACGTACACGCTAGTGCATACGTACAAGTACGCACGCGACAGATGACTTGTCGAAACCCAGCTCATATATGGTCATCCACTACGTGGAAAAATGGTTCGTAGCAACGGAATAAATTTTTTGTAGGGGCGGCTGGTGATGGAGCCGCCCCTACAGTGACGTGCTCAGAAGCCACTAGATCAGCCGCCCCTACAAATGGTACGGTAGGGGCGGCTAATAATACGAGCCGCCCCTACAAATAGGATCGATTTGTAGGGATGGCTCACTCAGCAGCCGCCCCAGTGTTATAATTTGTAGGGGCGGCTCAATCACCAGCCGCCCCTACAAATCACTCGTACAACAAATATCTCACACCTCTCGTCTGCCGCCCAGTTCCGTTCCCCTGATCCTTTCCCCCCTCTCTCTCTCGTCCCCGCCATCGCCACCTCACCTACACCTATGCCGCCGCCGCACCTCCCCTTTTCCTCTCCGCCGCTACCATCCCTCCCCATCCCCCAACCACGACAGCTCCACGGAGGCCGAGATTTGTAGGGGCGGCTGGTGTTTCCAGACCGCCCCTATAAATCGATTTGTAAGGACGGCTACAGTACCAGCCGTCCCTACAAATCGATTTGTAGGGACGGTTAATAACACCAGCCGTCCCTGCAAATCGATTTGTATGGATAGTCTGGGAACCGCCCCTACAAATCAACGATTTGTAGCCACCCTTTCATAGGGGCGGCTGGCAAAACCGCCCCTACGTAGCGTCACCAACCGCCCCTGGAAAGGGTTTTCTACGTAGTGACCGGAGAAAGCAGCAGGTACCAGCACACGCTTGCTGCTTGGCCAAACCTGACGTGCCCGTGCCGTGCGTCCGTGCTCGCCAAAAAAAACCACTACTGCATGGGCCCTGACGCTGAAACACGCAGAACAAAAGGTGCATTTCCTTCTGATCATGATGACCGTCTCTCCAAACCGGCCGAGAACGAACCTGCCACTTTGGCAGCATGCGTGCGTGCCACCAGGATTTTCCAACGCGGCACGCAAATCGCGGAGGAACTCTCGGCGTGCAGTGGCCACATCCGCAGGCTACCTTTCTTCTTCGGTGATGTCAGGATCCATGAAATGTTTACTAGATGTCATATGAAATGTTTACTGGATGTCACATCAGGTATTTAATACTAATTAGAAAAACTAAACATTAACCTAATTAGACTTAATAGATTCGTCTCGTAAATTAGTTTCAATCTATATAATTAGTTTTATAATTAGCCTACGTTTAATACTATATATATATATATGTCTAAATATTTGATCTGACATGAACTAAAAAAGAGGTAAACCAAACACTGACCTGCCCCTCACTCAGGTAGCTGTTTCAGTTCAGACCTGATTCAGACAGGATATCGATCTGCAGGTTGGCAGGCAGGTTTGTACTTTCAGCAACGGATGACAGTGTAAACTGCTACCGTTTGACAATCCTGCGCCTACCCGGCCGGCCGACGGTCTCATTAATGTCGCTCATGCAATCTTGCTTGAGCTGTGATTACTACTCAACACTGAAGAGCTGATTAAGAAGAAGACGGACGACGACGAAAAGGTCGTGGGTTGTGTGCTGTGTTCAGTTTCCTAGCTAGTTCTCGTCTACAAAATGAATGCACTGTTCACCACCGCTGAAGTACTGGTACTAGTAGGCGTGCACGGTGCACGTACTAGTAGTAGGATTAGCAAATGATGAATTTGAGACCACACACCTTACACACACACCATGCGCGTGACAAGTGTCATGTCTTTTTGTACGCTGTGGGCCTTACGTCGTCCTTGCTCATATTAGAGAATTTTTTTTTTTTTGTTGTAAGGCCCTTTTTTGAACTTATTGAAGTTTTAATAACTACACTATGTTTTTAAAGAAAAAATAGCAATTTTGACCACGCCAAACTTGGCGTCACTACACAAACATAAAACATTAGAATCATATACGAAAATTTCCTATGGAACTCCTTGGAATAAATGATTGGGTTTCTACACATCCTCTAGAAGTTTTTTTATACGAATTTTTAGAAATTTTTTACCAAGAGATTTGACCTCATGCAAAGTTGAGAGGTGCGTGAACAGATTAAATCAAATGCACTACTCCCTGAGGGCGTGTTTGGATGCTCACAACACACAAGGATTAATGTAGATACATAAGCATCCACAAGGGCTGAGAATTCCATCTTTCCACGCGCTACTGTTAAAAATCTAACTGTTTTGCAGAGACGCCACGTCGCCACCGCGACAGGCCTTCTTCTTCAACCGTCGCTTTCTCGTTTCTTCCCAGAACCCGGCACTGCACTTTGCACCCCGTTCAGACCCTGCTGTGCCTCTACTCTCTTCTCCTGTACTACCATACCACGCCTGCGTCTCACCTCTACCGGAAGTCCGGCACTGCAAGTTTGCAACCAGTCACAGAAAAAAGCAGCGATGAGTGCACGACTTTGACATGCCATCTAGCTAGCCAAATAGCCGGCCCATACACATGCATGCATGCATGACCAACACCATCTCTTCTAAAGGATGCATGATACATGCATGAATGAGTAGCCAATGCATGCATGCCCAACACCGGCCAATCGTCCATCGATCCGTCTATATAAGTCGGGCTGGACCATGGCGTTGGCATCATATCTCACCAACTTGTTACTACAAACACCACCCCCACAATAACTCATCGTGTAGGCACCAACCTGCTGCCTCCACCACTACATCTACGCACCGTCCGCCATGGCCAAGAAGAGTAGGCTCCTCCTCGCGCACAAGCTCTTCTCCGCCATGCTCTCCCTCCTCCACGGCCGCCGCCCGCCTCCTCACTACTCCAGCACCAGCAGGTCCACCACCACGGACCCCGCCTCTTCCCCTGCCGTGCACCGCGGCGCCGTCCCTCCGTCGACGCTGGACGCCGCCGCCGCGCTCGTCGTCGACGTCGACACCGCGCTGCTGCGGTCGGGCGGCGACCTGTTCCCGTACTTCATGCTCGTCGCGCTCGAGGCCGGCGGCTTCCTGCGCGGGCTGCTGCTGCTCCTGCTGTGCCCGCTCATCCGCCTCCTCATGCCCCGCGGCGCGGCCGTCAGGGCCATGGCGGCGGTGTCGTTCTGCGGCCTGCGCGCTGGAGGCCGGTTCCGTGCCGGCCGCGCCGTGCTGCCCAAGTGGCTCATGGAGGACGTGGCGGCGGAAGCGTTCGAGGAGGTGCGCGCCGCCGGGAGCAGGGCCGTGTGCGTCACGGCCATGCCTAGGGTCATGGTGGACGGGTTCCTCCGTGAGTACCTCGGCGTGGAGGTGGTGGTTGCTAGGGAGATGAAGGTGCTGTGGGGGTTTTACACCGGGCTCATGGAGGAGCTGCCGGAGGGTGGTGAGATGGTGATGAAGGCGGCGCTGGCGGCGCCGCCGGCAGCGGAGGAGGAGAGTGGTGACAAGGCGGTCGTGGGGTTCTCTGGGTCAATGGAGTTTCTTAGCCATCCACTGGCACGTTGCTGCAAGGTATAGAACCGTGGAAGAAGATGATTGCTATAATTATTTCGCTTCCATTTCTGGTAGATTCTCTTTTCAGTTTGACTTTGAATAACGTTGAACAAATTAATTAAAAGGTAGGTTACCGAACTAATTTTCAAGAGACAAAAAAATTGAGAGGTTCAAATATGCATGACTTGGAGTATATACTTGATTAGTTGAAGTTGGACACATTAAAAGTAGGTTACTGAACTGCTCCTCAAAAGAAGAAAAAAACTTCGAGAGGTCCAGAATATGCATGACAAAGTTTCTCAAGCATGCATACATGTTGCATTTCCCTTCCATCATGCATGAAAGTACCTTGCTTTATTACAAGTTAGCATGATCTATATTCTCATCTATTCAGAATCTCAGCCTCTCGGGTTATGTGCGTCCTGGGCTCATGGCTAGTAGGCAACAGTACAAAAATACGTAGACGTAGGACTATTTTGTATGGCTGACAGTCTGACACAGATAAAACGTACAACACACATGTCGCACTGTTGCTGTCGTGCTCATCATGCAAACTCAATCATTCACGTCGTTTTCCTCTCAGCTGTGATCCAAAAAAAATTCCACCTTTCCCAAAAATTAAGTAGCTGTTCAATCTTCTCGGTTTTCATTCTGAATTTTGTGAGCATCCGCCTTGGATTTACAATTTTCTTGCTAAATTTCGTGAACCTCTAAAGCTGATGAACTTCCTTTGGAATTTGTGAACGTACGTACGTACGTACGTGCAGGAGATCTTCGTGGTGAGCGCCGACGAGAAGAGCAGGTGGCGGCCGCTGGCGCGGGACAAGTACCCGAAGCCGATGGTGTTCCACGACGGTCGCCTGGCGTTCCGACCAACAGCCGCCGACACGGCGGCCATGTTCGCGTGGCTGCCGCTGGGCGTCGCCCTGGGCGCCGCGCGTCTCGCCGTGGCGCTGACCGTGCCGTACAGGTACTCGACGCCGATCCTGGCGGCGACGGGCATGTCGTGGCGGCTCAAGGGCTCCCGCCCGGCGCTGCCGGGCGGCGGGCGCGGGCAGCTGTTCGTGTGCAACCACCGGACGCTGATCGACCCGGTGTACGTGTCGGTGGCGCTGGACCGGCAGGTGCGCGCCGTGTCCTACAGCCTGAGCCGGCTGTCGGAGCTCATCTCGCCCATTGGCCGCACCGTGCGCCTCACGCGGGACCGGGACAGCGACGGCGCCGTCATGGCGCGGCTCCTCGACCGCGGCAACCTCGTCGTCGTCTGCCCCGAGGGCACCACGTGCCGGGAACCTTACCTGCTGCGGTTCAGCCCGCTGTTCGCCGAGCTCAGCGACGACGTCGTCCCCGTCGGGATCGCCGTCGAGACGTCCATGTTCTACGCCACCACCGCCGGCGGGCTCAAGTGCTTCGACCCGCTCTACTACATGGTGAACCCCAGGATGTGCTACACCGTGCAGTTCCTGGACAAGGTGGACACCAGCGCCGTCAGGAGCAGGGCCGCGCCCAGCACCGAGATGGCCAACCTCGTGCAGAGGAAGATGGGGGACGCGCTCGGCTACGGATGCACCATGCTCACCAGGAAGGACAAGTATCTCATGCTCGCTGGCAACGACGGCATCGTCCGATCAACCGGCGACAAGTCGGCGCCTTCTGTCGCTGCTGGCGCCGAACCAGGGAGGAAGAACAACTAAGTCGAACTTACTGTCGATTGATTAGAAAAAATGCAATTCTTAAGGGGAAAAAGGAGTGGAGACTTTTGTCCTTGACTTTTTGGTTTTAGAAGAAGACCTTGGAAGTTTGGTACATCTCGTTGTTGCTCTGTTGATCATTTGTTTTCTGCTGTTTGTTTCCTTCTCTTAAGTAGTTTATATTTATTTATTTATTTTTAAATAGGTTAGGGACTTTTTCTTGAGATTTTTATTTATGTATGTATATGTAAAGAAGCAACAGGCTTGTATCTCTCGGGTGATTGTACTTGTACGGTAGAAAAAGACTACAATGTGAATTAAATAGTAAACTTGTCATTTGTGCATGCTGTTGTCATGATTTCGACCTTGTAGGTCCAAAGAAACACATGTCAACATCATCTTTTAATGCTTATTACCCTTAATTGTCCTGCAAAATCTACATGCAACCAAAAGTGATGAGTCACTCACCAGTTGTTGGACCAGGACCTTGATTGACCATTACTGAAGGAGACATGCATGGAACAGATATGTGCAATGCAAGTTGGAACGACAGTGGGTTACTAAACAAGAAAGCTATAGAAATGTATGCTGAAAGCTGCATCAGAATGAATGGCTTCTTCTTTTTAGACATCATCAGTGGCGATTTATAGTCGTAAAAACGACCGTTAACAATGGGAAAATGAGAGGGTGACAATAATTAGCCTGTTTGGATATTGGCAACAATTAATTTCCCAGCAACAAATTAAAAGGACTCTGCATTATCATATGAAGCAATAGATATTTGGATGTTTATTGGAGGTGGTTTATGTATGTATCTATACGGAATAAATTAAATATCCGCGCTGGAGAATGGATGGAGAGCTAGCACTATACCCGTGCCGATGTATTGTTCAGTTGTTTGTGTGCAAGCATGGTGTATTTTGCCATCGTTCCAAAATCAGATGATTCATTTATTTACTGGAAGGGAAAATGGAGAGATTGACCACCAGTTAATATTTTACGAGAAAAAATTAAATAAAAAAAGGAGAATGCAAGGAGCTAGTACTATACCATGTGTTGATGTCTGGTTCCTCGAGTTGTTTGTATCGAAACATGGTGTATTTTGTGATTGTACCAAAATCAGATGATTCGTTTCTTTTATTGGAAGGAAAGGAAAAAACAGAGAGATTGACTGGCAATAATTTATGAGAAAAAAAAAAGTTTCGTTTCTTTTATTGGAAGGAAAGGAAAAAAACAGAGAGATTGACCGGCAATAATTTATGAGAAAAAAAGTTTGAAAAAATTTAAAAAGAGGAAGAACTGGAAAGCATGCGTTCGCCGGGAGTAGATGCACGAGTAGCACTGGCTGCTGTATACAGCAGCAGCAGGCGCCGCCCGCGTGAGAGATCCATGGCCACGTGGGCCTGTTTGGTTGGAGGCTTGCCTTGTAAAAAATTGCAGGTGACCGTACACACGAAGTACACCGCCACAACAGTAACCGACTGGATCGGATGGGAATTGGGATGGGAGGAGCAGAGATCCAAAAGCAGCCAATCGCCGCCGGCGCCGGCCGTACCGTACGAACCACCGCCGGCAGTAATTAATCACGGTAATTAGCTACTAGCTAGCTCAATCCCCCACCACTGCCGACACTCGCGATATGTCAGCCATGCGGCCATGCCCCATGCATGCATGGATCAATCCATCCATTGCAAGCAGAGGCACTTGCTTGCATTGCCCCGCTGGTTTGCTTCGCAGTCGCAGAGCAGGCAAAGCCATGCACCCTACCATTTACGACATCGAGATCGACCCCGAGGTGGGCGTCCTCGGTGGCCACCGATGGCATTTTTTTTCTTCCAACGAACAATCCTAGAGTGGTGACACTTATTTTTGGACCGAGTGAGTACGTGCTTCCTGTGTCGCTATCATGTGTGTGCTTGGAAATCGTGTGGCCTTTCACTTTTTATTCAACATCTACCTGTTCCTTTTTCTTGGCTGCTTTGTTTCGAATTCATTTATTCGAAACATGTCCTCGCCTTTTATGGATTATTAACCTCCGCCCTCTATAGCCAGTGTGGTGCACAAAAGTTTTAGTCTACTTTGTTCTTTTTTTTTCTCATTCGTTCATTCAATTCGTTCACCTGCTTGTTCAGACTCCCTTATATTAATTACCCCACAGCCACAGTCCAGTTCCTGCTCCTGCACTGCACACGTACATACAATACCCTGTTGTGTATGTGTTCCGATGTTCAAATCCAGCAACAATAAAGTGCGGCAACTTAATCTATAATTAATACTCCCTCTATACGGGTAATTCAAGTAGTTTTGGACAAGGTTTGGGTCAAACATTAGAAATATAAATCATGAATAACTTTTAAGTTGTTGAATTTGGAAATGTGAAAACCATATGAATAGATTTGTCTTGAAAAGTACTTTCATAAAAATATATATATATATATCACTTTCCAAAAATTATTTTTATAAAAATAAGGAGTCAAAGTTATGTTTTGGAGACCATGTTGCTGTCCAAAACGACTTGAATTACTAATATGAAGGGAATATTAAAGAGGCAAAATTTCTCTCCACCTTTTTTTGGTCCGGCCCTCCATAACTAACTCTATAAATGTGGAATTTGTCTAGAGTCCTAGATAGCTATGAATACTAATCCAAATAGATCACCTCCTTCCTGACAACATGAATATGAATCCTAATTCAAATAGAAAAGAATAAAAATAGAAATCAGACAAAGCTTAACGTAATATCAAACCACGAAGAGTTTTAGGTTTTCGTCATTTTTATTTTTGTTTTCCTGTTTTTCTTATTAGCATGAGAAGTTTCTTTGTGTTTATCTTTTTTTTGTCCGCTTTAACATATCCATTGGCTTCCCTTTTTTTCACGGTCCTCTTTTCCCACATCCGAGCATCTATCGTTAACTTCCGATTGATTTTTTCCGTCTCTTTTTTTATTTTTAACATATATAAATATTATAAAAAAACAAACAATAGATATAATAATAAATAGTATGAGCAGTTGAAATTCATCTCTTCCTTAAAAAGTACAGATTTACACCACTAAAGTTATTGATGCAATTTTTATTAGAAAAAGACTTATCTTATTATAGTCTGATTTAGCTGATGATCAACTAATCCAGAGCAATTTGTTGTCTATATCGGTATAAATAAATGTGTCTAATATGCACGTACAAATGTAGTATTAAAGTGATGATATAAAATTAACATATATAAAAATTATAAAAAAACAAACAATAGATATAGTAATAAATAGTATGAGCAGTTGAAATTCATTTCTCTTCCTTAAAAAATACAGATTTACACCACTAAAGTTATTGATGCAATTTTTATTAGAAAAAAAGGCTTATCTTATTATAGTCTTATTTAGCTGATGATCAACTAATCTAGAGCAATTTGTTGTCTATATCGGTATAAATAAATGTGTCTCATATGCACGTACAAATGTAGTATTAAAGTGATGATATAAAATTAGCTTATATTATGAATGTCATAGTTATCATAAAATTAATAAATTATAGCTTTAAATTTTTAAAGAAAGAGTGAAACATAAATATGTATCATTTCGGTTCTTGATTTCCATGAATATCTGATAGCTTGTTTCTCCTGTTGCAACGCACGAACACGTTTGGTAGTAATAACTCAATCGATGAACCAAGGGATATATGGATCACAGCGAGCTGGTGCCGGCCCTGTACGTGGGCCTGAACAAAGAAATGCTGCCACACCCAACAACCAAGACCATGCATATGCATGGTGACCTCCGGAACGCGGCGGCGTGCATGTGCATGTGCATGCATGCATGCATGCATGGACCATCACGTTCAGCTAGCTAGCTAGTAGACACGGCCGGGTAGTGGTAGGGGCCGGTCCTGCATCTTCAATAATCTGCAATGTGCAATCTGCATCTGTATGCATGATCTACGGCTTCTACCTCGACCGTAGAGGATATGCAGTGCAGTAATGCAGTAGCAGTGTCGAGGATATGCAAGCCCTACATCATCAGATCGGAGAGTATGCAGTAGCAGCAGTGTCGTCAAGGATATGCATGGTAGATTCGGGTGACAGATCATCGACTGTCAGTACACATTTTGATTACAGGCCGGACCAGAGAGAGAGAGAGAGAGAGAGAGAGAGAGGTGTTCCAACAACAAAAGGTCCAGCACGTCCTGGAGTGGACGACAAAAAGGCTATATATATGTAGTAAGTAGGAGCAACCAGTAGGTGTTAATGAAACAGTTGATACATACAACGGCATTTGGTTTATGGCCGGGGTGAACAAGGACGGCTTGAGTAGATCCCTTCCTTCAAGCATTTGGACCCTGAGCCAAATATGCCAAGATTGTAGGTCGATCCGATCCGCCCCCAGAGAACGATCAGACAAGGTCGTCCTCTATCGACATTGTCCTTGGGCCATCTCCAACAGCTCCTCCTCACATAGGCCTAAACATACATTCCAGCCAAAATATTAGCTAAACATGAACATTTGGAAGGCTTGACCAGTCAAAACAAGTGAACGCCGGTTCAAACGAAATTACCAGAATTTCGAAGATCCAATCCATTTCGATTATTGGGTCCGATGTTTTTTTTTTTTGCCATTAGAACCCCAGACACGAAAGACGAGCAGATAACTAGCCCTACGAAATGAATTGATGGTGCATTGCCTGGTTAACCGCCAGCATTGTACGTATTAGCTTTGGGACGGCCGGTCTTAATTTATTGGCATGGAAATGTGGTTGAGGTGGTTGATCTGGGCAAGGGTTCAGGATTGCATTCCCTCCCCCACCGGACGCCAATCATTCATTTCAGCGCGTGGTTGCAGGAATAATATTAAGATGACAATATTATATATACCAGGATCCAGGGGGTCTTGCTAATGCTTGGAGACTTTCTTGGACATGTGGGCTGTGGACAAGGACCCGTGGGGATAACATGTTCCATTCATGTCCAGTCCAGGCCCCCACCCTATTCATGTCTCACATGCCATATGCAATG